AGCTTTCCTGCACCTCTGATGCTGCTTGGCCTGCTGTGTTCATCCAGCTCTACACCTTGTTATCTCAGATTCTCCAGCATCTGCAGTTCCTACTATCCCTGTGCTAGTGTTCTTTGTTCTTTGTAATTTACATCACAATACTTCCCATGGAAGCACAATCCTGAAGCCAAGAATGTGATATCCCACTCCAAAATCTCAATCGTGTAAGTAGCTTTCAGTACCAGAACTTACAATCTTTCTGGAGCAAATTGTTATCACAGTGCTGATACAGCAAAATACTGATGATCTTCTGCCAGTAAGTAGTTCAATACTCTAACCTGTTTCTATTCATATTCCACAACGCAATCTAGAAAGATTGCAAGTAGGTTGCAGATTCCTTGACCTCCTAGTTTTGTTTTAGTAAGGCTGGAGGCATAAAGGCTGTGTATGGAGATGGTCAGTTGGCCACTCAGATTTCTTGGTAGCATTATGAAGAGCTTACTGACTCCATCTAAAATTGCACATTCAGATTCATACAGTACATTTTACGTCTAATTCAATTCAAATTGGCTGAATTGTTCTTCAGAGAACTCTGTGCCAAGAAAATCCTCCCAGTGGTGTAATAGAGGGCACTTACCCGACTGTGGAGTTAAATATAGTGAGAACTGGTGAGAATTTCTGACTCTGGCTGTGTGTGACCCTTGAGGGGGCATGAAGCTGATGCTGGCTCATGATAAACATTTGCCATTATTGACATCCCTCACCCGAATGACTACAGGCCATTCATTGGAGGTACAGTTAGTAAGTTTGCAGATGACAGCAAATTGGAGGTGTAGTAGACAGCAAAGGTTACCTCAGAGTACTGTATGTCATTTATATAAATGATCTGGATGTGAACATAGGAGGTGTGGTTAGTAAGTTTGAGGATAAAACCAAAATTGGTGGTACAGTGGACAGTGAAGAAGGTTATTTAAAAGCACAGTGGAATCTTGATCAGCTGGGCCAATGGGCCGAGGAGTGGCAGATGGAGTTTACTTTAGATAAAAGTGAGATGCTGTATTTTGGAAAGGCAAATCAGGGCAGGATCTATACACTTAATGGTAAGGTCCTGGGGAATATTGCTGAACAAAGAGACCTTGGAGTGCAGGTTCATAGTTCCTTGAAAGTGAAGTTGCAGATAGACAGGATAGTGAAGAAGGCATTTGGTAGGCTTGCCGTTATTTGTCAGTGCAATGAGTATAGGAGTTGGGAGGTTACGTTGTGGCTGTACAGGACATTGGTTAGGCCACTTTTGGAATACTGCGTGCAATTCTGGTCTCCCTGCTATAGGAAGGATGTTGTGAAACTTGAAAGGGCTCAGAAAAGATTTACAAGGATGTTGCCAGGATTAGATGATTTGTGCTATAGACAGAGGCGAATAGGCTGGGGCTATTTTCCCTGGAAAATCGGAGGCTGAGGGGTGGCCTAATAGAAGCTATAAAACAATGAGGGGCATTGATAGGAGGAATAGATGAGGTTTTTCCCTGGGGTGGGGAGTCCAATCCTATAAGGCATAGGTTTAAGGTGAGAGGGAAAAGATTTAAAAGGGACCTATGGGGCAACTTCTTACACAAAGGGTGGTGCATGTATGGAATGAGCTGCCAAAGAAAGTGGTAGAGGCTGGTACAATTACAGCATTTAAAAGGCATCTGGGTGGGTATATGAATAGGAAGGGTTTAGAGGGAGTATGGGTCATATGCTGGCAAATGGGACTAGTTTAATGTAGAATATCTAGTCGGCATGGATGAGTTGGACCGAAGGGTCTGTTTCCATGCTGTACAGCTCTATGACTTTAAGAGTGAATAATATGCAAAATACAAAATGTATCCCATATCCTTCTCTGCTATAAAGAACATTCCACTGAACGAGTGGAGTCAACAGGATAGATACTTCTCTTTTCGAATTCACATCAAGAACGTTTGAATAGCTTTGAGGATAGAAGCTGATAGAGCAATTGATTTATATGAGAATCACTGCCTCTAAGGAGATTTCTCATAGAAATAAATGTGCATGTACTGGACAGTCATCATCACTATGATGGTGGCAAA